AACAATTCTCCAATGGGTGGGGGGTCGTTTTAGAGAGTGTACTATACAAACAAAGATTGATATCAAAGAAAATGTTACAATATGCTTTTAAATATTGGAAACTCTGGTTTGAGTACAATCTATGTGACGTGTGGGAAAAGAAGGAAATTTTTGGCAACTTTTGCTATAAACATTAAGAATATCTTTGTAAAATTATCTAGTGGATTACATGAGAAAGATATATAGATGGCATAGTAAGATTTTTGGGTTCACTAATAAAAATGTGAGAAATGGAGATAGAAAATGCACAGAGACAGTCACAATTACGACAAAAATACCCCCTCCTTTAAATTGGATAGCGAAAGCCAAAGAAATACAGTTATATGCTCGAAAGAAACTTCTAGCGTGAGGCCGTCTTAACACATCTCAACAACACATTTTCGTGGCCGTGTAGTACTCGTGTTAAAGTTGGGAATCGGTCGCGTGCATTGATAAGATGGGACTTGGAACCGAACGCGCAATTTACTGGATGAATAATTTCACTGGATTACCTTCAGACTTATAATATTTACAAAAATACCACAAAAACAAATTGTCCAGTCACTAAACGAGCTTTGTTTTGGTATTTTAGGAGATGACCACCAGTCAGTGACGGGAATAGCCAGTAATTTGTCTGATATAAATAATAAAACACGGTATTATTATTGCGTAGGTTTTGCTTGGTACAATAAATTTCCAGTTACGAAATAAGACCAGTGACCTTGTATGAACTTTTTTGGACAGAAGTGTCTCATGACGCGAATAGTTGACCTAGTTCACAATTCAAAGCATGCACGGTTAATTGCTTTGAGGCAGTATTGGATTTGGCTGTACTTGGTACACTGGCAATATATTATAATAACGCATTGCCTGTAAATAACAATAAACTACAGCCGTCTTCATGCTAATAATAGATAGGTGCAGGTTTGGGGACATATATTTAATATTTATGTTTAGGCACTATTTGGTACACACTGTTAAACATTCAGAGCTCCATCCCCAAGTTGAACATATTTAAAAAACGATTTAAGTAAATCAAAACATGAAGACATACATGAATGTTTTAAAATACGTATTATCTACCTTTTCGCTGTTCAGGATTTCAAATATAAATAGCTACCAGAGTATGTGTCTAATGGATTTAAATTGTTCACAATATGTGTCCTGTTTTTCGAGAAGAGAATTTCCATGTATTGTGTTTTGTTAAATACATTTATTTAATATTAATGTATGTTAATTACATTCAATGTTTAAATCACGTGGCTAACGACTTTTTTGCCATGTAGCCATAATGGATAAAAACATATCAAAGAAAATATTTGTTTCAAACATGATAGCTTTAAGTTTATATAATCTGTTTCAAAAGAAATTAGTCTTACTTCTTTTACGTCAAAGATTCTGTGTCCAATTTCCTGGGCGCATTGTTTCTGGCTTCCATTATTTGCTCATTAAACGGTGATGCCTATTTACCCCCCCCCCTCTGTAATCTGGATTCCAAACTGTCACAAATCCGGTTTGAACTCGTTTACACGTTGGTATCCAACAAATGATTAACGAGCGGTAATTACAGACAATCCGTACGACAGATGCCTTTGGGAATTAAAGGCGTTTTTTTTTAAGTTCCGATCACTCTGTCGCTGAAAGAGGTTTGACGGTTTCCATGCCAATGACGATTATGGACTATAATTAGATTATATCCTGCACTGTGTTGCCCACATGTAAAACATACACAAACTCTTTCACTTCAAAACTTTATTAGTGACAAATGTACTGCATTATTAGAGACACATTACCATTCTCGTTATATACGAAATGGCGGGGTTTCGAAAACTTTCGCAAACACTCTTATCTAGTAGTCACACGGAAGGCGTGGAATTTAGAATCTGATATAAAAATCTATATCTTTTTTTTTGAACGATATGTTTTGTCTCAATGAAAAAAGTGATGTTGTTTGCAGAAACACACACTTAATGAAGTCAGTTCCTCATTTAGATGAACACTAAAGACTTTCCAGCCGTTTTCGACAATGTGAAATTCTTTCGTTTTTATGCAGAAAAATACAGTATTTTTACCAAGTCAAATCATATTTATGAAAGTTCTTGTTCATACATGAGTTGTTGAACACACTCCATAATTTGTAATTTCATTCAGCTTCCTTCAGGCATAATTCAAGACAAAAAAATGCAAATATAGCAATAGAATACAATGGAAGAGAATACTAGCAAATTTTTTTTTTCTGTTTTTTTTATTGTGTAATCTGTAATTATGAAAATTATTTACGGATGCATAAGGAATACATTTCGTTATAAATTATTCTTGATATAAATACTTTTTTTTTGAGGGTTTTTTTTCTCCAAAAAACGAAAGGATTTCACAATGTCGAAGATGGAAAGTCTTTATCTTGGTGTTGAAGACATTTCTTAAATATATTGATGGGGGTTACTGACAAGGGCACTGAGCTTCCACGGTCAGCCTCGTAATATCGTATGTATGTATCCTCGCATTCTTTGTAAGAAAAACAGTTGTTCGACAACTGCGTCATATTAAAATCTCAAGCAAATTTGCGATGACCACGTTTTGAGATAAGCTGAAAATAACATCCTGCATATTTCATTTTATTCGGTTTTTTTGTTTGTTTGAAAATTTCTGGTTGAAATTTCTGGTTTAAAATTATTTCTTCTACAAATTGCGACTCAACTTACTACTCTGAAGTTGTTATCACCTATTTATTGTTTGATATGTGTACATGGTAGACGTGGAAATGGAAATGTTTTGACATCGTGTTGTGGCTATTTGGGTCATGGTAAATTTGTCAAATTAGGTATAACATAAGGACCACTCACACTGGAGATGCACTTGGATGAATATATTGTCAAATCTCCGGTGAATTACGTATACGTGGCGATAACATTAGATCTACTTCTTAAAAAAAACGTGTGAACAAACTGCAGTAATTACATCATGTAATCTACAAGCCGGAATCTTCCGTATCGGATTATTAAAATGTTCCTTGTCAATAACGATGTGAATAACATAATTTATTACGACACGTGGTAGAGCAATCAACACGCCTAAGTCGTAGTTATAACTGAATTAAATATGTGACACAGAATTCTGATGCATGCGATTCATTTCAGGACACGTAAGACATTCAAATATATTAACCAATTAAAATATGGGCGTGGCGGGTAGAAACACGTACACATACTTGAACCATGTTAAAACACGTGTCACATCTCCGTTATTGTCGACGGATGTACATATCTTTCTCTTTTCTACACGTGTTTAACATATCTTATCGTATTGCAGACGTCTAGTGTATTGATGTGTAGCAAATACCTCGACCGAGTAATAGTGTATCAAACACTAGGATAAGTTGTCGCGGCTGTTAATGTGACATACAACTTTGTGTATGGGCATACCAATCATGACCAAAAAGTGGAGCATGCACCAAAATAAGATTTTATTTGTTTTTTGGTTGATTAATCAGGAGTGCTACTTGAATATATATCGACACCTAATGGATCTAGAGAACAACGCATCTCATGGGCGAAGCAATTATGCCCGTGTTGTTTTCGTTTAATTCAAAAGTACATCCCGTATTTTACAATTCAAAAATAGAATTGACGACGTTTAAATAGGGGTACGAATGAATAATTTAATGTATGAAAAATGAGACCATAATACACTCCTTTAAAACGTCTAATTGATTGGAATGGCGTTAATACGAAAAGTGTGTCCCAACAAGACACAGTATCTACAGTTTACTTTGTCGAGCACGCATTAATCATAAAGCATTCGCTTGTGATATTGATGTAACACATTTGATTTGCGATGAGATCTTAAATGAACATTTCTTTCTGCTTTAAAATAGTCATTCGGCTACTCACTAGATATATATTAAAATAATACATATACAACCTATAACTGCGTCATTTCTGTCGTGTTGTTATATAAGTGAGTTATTTAATATTGGATTTAGAGTAGAAAATGTAGTCTTTCATAATTATTTTGAGTGGTCTATTTCAATGGAAGTAGATATTTGACCGAGCGTGTTCGGGACCTGTAGTATGGACTTGACACCGGTGGGGGCCAAAGATGAAATCGGTCATGGGATTGAAGTAAAAAACGAATTGTCCCGTACCTTTTGTAACAGTGACGCAGACTGAATGATGAATTAACAACCGAGATTCAATCATTTTTTAGGGGATATGACTTAAGTAAAAATCGAATTTAGAAGTAGTTCTCAAAATAAAGTATAA